GCCGGATCGCTGTGCAAGCAGGCGCTTCTCCGCCTGGCACCGAGGACAGTGGGGAAGCAAGCGTCCAGAGCGGGCACCCGCAGTGTGGGCATTCCAGCACCCAGAAGCGATAAACCGCGGAGCCAGAAGGGAAGTAGGAAAATGGCTGGAACTGCCTAGAGGTGGGAGAACTCCGAACGGAGTTCACGTTGGTTTTGAAGCCCACCATTGTGGAAAGGAATGGAATCGCAGAGAAATAACAGTCTGCTCAGGGATGAGCCAGGGTGCAGGGTGAGTGGGAGCATAGCACAGATGCCCTCGTTACCTGTAAGGTGCTGATTTCCAAACAGGATTTTGCAATATGTGAATTGGAGGAAAGTAACCCACCACCACCACCATACACCCACACCCACATGTTAGAGAAAATGACCTGAAATGTTCAGCTCTGCAATTGGTTAGAATGATAACGATTCGCTAGAAAATGAACAAATATTGACTCAGATTTTAGGAGTTGAGTAAGCGAGAAAGCTTCAGAAACACTTCTTATGCCCACATTCATTCATTCACCAGGATTGTGTGTGCCGCTCTGTGTGGCAGCACCAAGATGGTTGGAAGCCAGGTGGGGTCCCGAGGAGCATGAGAGACCACCGGGTAAACCACAAACAATTACCTTGTGCCAGATGCTTCTAACGGGTTTGCAGGGACCCGAAACTGGAGTCAACTGAGTTGATAGCATGCTTTGGCTGGGAGAGATGGGAAAGGCTTTCTGAAAGGTCGGAGTGACTGAAGTCGAAGACCTTTAGGCTCCACTAGGCTCCTTTCATTTGCTGACCAACCGGCAGATGGAGTAGCAAACCTTACCGGAAGGGCTGTAGGTGAGGAATAGGAACCATCCAGAGAAAAGTGTGTTCTGAGTTATGCCAGATGAGGAAGAGATTGTCACAAGTTGAAAGGTGAAGAAAAATCTAAACGGAGAAAGCGTATGGCTCCAGCAGTGTCCCTAAAGTATCAGCCGCCAGTCTTCACTCTCCAGTTCATTCCAGCCAGGAAAAAGAATTTCGTGCATCCATTCCTGTCCATTAAAGATAGGTACTATCATACTTAAGGTGGATGGTTCAAACCCACCAGACACTTCACGGGAGAAAGATGAGGCTGGCTGCTCCCATAAAGATGTACAGCCTCGGAAACCCAGTACAGGGTCACTATGAGTCAGCATCGACTTGATAGCAGAGGGTTTGGGGTGGTGGGTTGACTCCTATCAAATTTCAGTGTACACCAAATCAACGTTGAAAAAGAAAAGGCAAAGGAAAACTTAAGTGATTTCTTTTGCTTCCTCTGACTCACCTTGCAGTTCCCACTTGGAGAGCTGGGAGTGGGGTGGGGGTGACTGGCACAAAGGTGAGCTAAGACCAGGTTGTGAAGAACTGTGGCTACTAGGGGTGAGCCTTGGGGGTCATTGCTATAGGCCAGTGGTGCTCAACCTGTGGGTCACGACCCCTTTGGAGGTCAAATGACCCTTTCACACGGGTCACCCGATTCATCACAGTAGCAAAATGACAGTGATTACGTAGCAATAAAAATACCTTTATGGTTGTGGGGGTCACCACAACGTGAACTGTATGAAAGAGTCACGGCATTAGGAAGGTTGAGAACCACTGCTCTAGGGGGTTAGAGCCACTGAAACGTGAAGACGTGGTACTACTTGGGTTGTGGTCCAGCTGGAGCTTAGCACTGACGACTGGTTTCTCTCGATATTTCTATAGGTGACCTTCCTGTGCCCTTCCTCTCCCCACCCCTGAAAGCCAGCTCCCGAGACCGGTATTACAGACGTGCATTTCATTCAGACAAACTGTAGCTGGAACATGCTTCTTGGGAGTCATCATGGCCACTGAAGGCAGGGGAACTTTGAACCTCACCCCTAGAGGCCCTGTTTTCCAGAGGCAGGCAGGATGCCTGGCTGTCAAGCAGGAGCCAGGGGGCCAGACCTGCAGTCTCCGAAAGAACCACCCTCCTGTCTGTGAAATCTTCCGGCAGCACTTCCGGCAGTTTTGTTACCATGAGACGTCTGGGCCCCAGGAGGCTCTGAGCCGACTCCGTGAACTCTGCCGCAGGTGGCTGATGCCAGAGGTCCACACCAAGGAGCAGATCCTGGAGCTGCTGGTGCTGGAGCAGTTCCTGAGCATCCTGCCCGGGGAGCTCCGCACCTGGGTGCAGCTGCATCGGCCCTGCAGTGGGGAGGAGGCTGTGGCTGTGGTGGAGGATTTCCAGAGACATCTGAGTGGACCAGGAGAGGTGAGCGACTTCATCTGGAATGGGTGAACCTGGAATAAGCCTTCTCCGGGCTCCAGGCTACCTTGCCCTTAGGGTCCCTGGCTGCTTCCATGGTTCGAGGGAAAGAGCTCTGTGCTGCAAGCCATAGGCAAAAAGGCAAACCCCAGCCAAGTTCTGAATCGTTCTGAAAGACTGGTGAGCCTGGCTTCTGCCTGGCCACCCACACCACACAGCATACCTGGCAGGTAGGGGGCTGCACACTGGGTGCAATCAGAGGATGGGATTTGGGGCCTCCAGGTGTGCAGTGACAGCAGCCCTCATTTGAGGATTTTGGATGGCTCACTTCGGGTGAACTCAGAGCCCATTCCCTCTCTTCCTGCTGCTTCTGCTCCTTATGAAAGATGACCCTTCTGGTCCGTCCAGTGGTCTCTTCCTTTGGCTCGCTCTCTAGGCCCAGCTTGCTTCTTTAATTCTGATTTCAGTGTATCTGATCCCTGGCGTTGTCTGGAATGTGAAGCCGAAGTCCCTCACACTAGAGGGAAGCTGGAAAGGGAATCCTCAATTTCGGGACCCCAGAGCTAACTGGCTCTGTGACCATCGATAAGTCAGTTCCTTGTAATGAGTCTCAGATGACTCCCCTGTCACCCAAGCAGGGGAGGCTCGGGTTCCCTCTAGTTGTACCCAGCTGTGCTTGACTAGGGAAAACCTGTGTATGACACTTCCCGCTTAGTCAGCAAATCATTGAAAAATGATTGCCTTTCTCTGCCTAGATACATATCCTGGGTCTAGACCGGTGGTTCTCAACCTTCCTCATGCTGCGGCCTTTTAATGCAGTTCCTCATGTTGTGGTAACCCTCCCAACCATAAAATTATTTTTGTTGCTACTTCATCACTGTCATTTTCCTACTGTGATGAATCGGGCGACCCCTGTGAAAAGGTCGTTCGACAGGCAAAGGGGTCACGACCCACAGATTGACAACCGTTGGTCTAGACCTCTTCCCAGTAGTAGAACCCATTGTTAACCATCAAGTCCTAGGAAAAGCAAGCACACACATATGAATCAGCCATGGCCAAAGTCTAGGAAGCAGCTAGAGCCAACCATGGGTGAAGACGCAGGGCTGAAGCAGTGGTGAGCACCATTCAGTGAGGCAGGTAGAAGGAGATTTTCCCTATTTCCTTTCTGTGCTTGGCTTAAAGTGTATCTTAGCTGAAGAGAGTGATCAGCAGTTAACAAGCAGGGCAGCTGAATATTCGTAGCTCCAGCATAGGAAGGGGGTTTGTGAACGCCCTTTACTTCTGACCATCAAAGCGTCCATTTTCTGACATGAGTACAGAAGGTGTCTCTCCTCGGCGAGGCTCAGAAAATATTCGTAGACTGGCTAAATGAGTAAACAAGCTTTCCGTGTGGCAAGTCAGTCGTGCAGCTCAGCAGGAAGGAGCATCTACAGGCGCAAGTCCCAGCTGTGGAAAGGCTTGAGAGAGATTCCTATGGGGCTGCGTCGTTTCTCACATCTTGTAGCTTATTTTAGGTCAGCGCAGATTGTGCAGAATAGGCCCACGCTGGTCGTTAACACCTGCCTTCTGACGAGTGAGGAGCGCACCGAGAGGTTATCGACTGACCGAAGATTGTCCTGAGGTTTAGCCAAAGTGAGTGCATCTTGAATACTCCCGAGTCAGGGACCAGAATTTCCCAGCTCTCTGGGCTCTGCCAGTGGACTGCCATCAAATCGATACCGACTCGTAGTGACCCTACCTGGGGTTTCCTAGGCTTAGAACTTGACAGGAGCAGACAGTGCCGTCTGGCTCCTACAGAGCAGCTGTTGGGTTTGAGCCTCTCCGTGAACAGTCTTCCTACCCAGCAGTGCAGGTCAAGCTCCCTCTTGAGGTGCTAAGCCACTAGCTTCCCCTTACTGCCTGGCTGAAGAATGGACTACCATTTTAGAATGAGAGTTGGAAATGGTTTTCACGGCTGTGAGTAAATGAAGCATGAACCTGAAGTCTAGATAGTAAATTGGAATGATGTCAGGGCTTAATCGGTACAGTTGTGTTATCACAGTGTGTGTAGTCCATCTCTTCTTCCAATACCCGTAGATTTCCATTCCATTCATGGGCACTGTCCAGGGAGAGCCTGGGAAGTACAGACCCTGGCGCCTTTCTGTTCTGCCTTCATGCTGGTGAGATAGAGCGTTAAGGAGGGAGCAGCTCCTAAACATCTCAGCAGATGTAACCCAACAAGGCAAACCCAGCAAGGTCGGTTCAAGGGCAGGTGACTTTCACCTTTTGCTGTGGCGTGATATGGGTCATGTTTTAGTTTTTCTGCTCCAAATTGTGAAATTGTGACAGTTGGCTTGATCACAACAAACAATGACTGCAGCAAAGAGACCCATGAGGTCTTCACAGGTTGCTGCTGCCCGATCTTCGTTGACTTTTTAGTATTTGGTTAGGAAGTGGTTCTACTTCTGAAAACTAGATTTGCAGATACACTCTTAGCAAAATACCAAGAGAAAGTCAGTGGGGAAATAATTTGGATACTAATGTACAGCCTGGCATTGCTCTAGGAGCTAGTGATGGCGATACACAAATTCTGGTCCTCAATAGCTTGTATTTCAGTGGTGAGAGGTAGACCCTAAGACAATTGAAAGACTAACAAGTGCTATGCAGGAAAAAAAAGTAGCTGGGTAATTTGAGGGGAAACGTGGCTGTCCCTGCTTTGCTAGTGTGGCTGGGGAAGAGTTCTCTGAAGAGGAGACACTTGTGCTATGAAAAACTGGGCAAGTGTTCTTGTTCTAGTGTCCGCTTGGACTGCCAGCTTTCGTCGCTATTTGTGCACATACAGGAACACATTCCTTTTATTTTCTCATGACTTCCTTAAGCATGGTCACTTGGGTGAGCGTTTACAGATCAAATTCCTTCCCCCCCACCAATTTTGAGACGCTTTGTCTCTTGACGTTCCTTGCAATCCGTCTGTTGCCACCGGCCCTGCCTGCCTACCTTCCTCCTTGGGTTCCCATTGCCACTCACTTCCCTTCCCCGCCCTGCCTGCCTTCCTCCTTGGGTTCCCATTGCCATTCACTTCCCTTCCCGC